CGCCGAGATATCACGGCCCCGCCGCCAGAGAGGGCCAGTGTCAGGATGGAGGTGGAATGGAGGCTCGGCCCCGTGCGAGCGGAGGGGGGGACGGGAGCGATGCCGTTTCACTGAGGTAGCGGAACCAGCACTTCCACGTAGTTGAGGGGGAAGAAGCCCGACTGGCCATTGATCATGCCCTCGTACCAGTTTTCGTCGATCTGGTTGGTCAGGGTGATGATGTCGCCTTCCTTGAAGCCCAGCTCGCCGTCGTTTTCAGGTTCGAAGTCGTAGAGAGCCTTGCAGCAGGGCTGGTCCAGGGGGGCTGCGGAGAGAGGTTGGGGTGGGGGGGTGGGGGAAGAGGTGAGCCGCACCCCCTGATACCCCCAGCCTCAAGCCTCCGGCTCTGCCGACGCCGGGGATTCCTGCCGCTCAACGCTGGCCCACGCCAGATCGGGACACAGCGCGGGATTCATCAGCTCTGCCAGCACCGGGGCTTGCACAACTGGTTTCACAACCCGGCTCTGCCCTGCCCGGGAGAAGCTGGCCCTTCACTTTGCCCCGCGATGGTAAAGCATTAACTCGGTTTTAACTCCTCACTGGCTTTTAGCTCACTAGTTCCTCTGCCATCTTGCCGCAACCACGTCCCTCATGAGCTTCTCCCAAAGCAGAGTCCCGCTTCCAGCACCCCGTGCTGCCTGTTCCTGCCTGGACTTCCCCTGCTCTAAGCTAAACTCCAACCTAAATTAGATTAGAAAAGCCACATTATTCCTCCAGAGACGATAGAAGCTGCCGTGCAGTTAATCAGTTAGTCAACAATGGGGTTAGACATCAAGTACGTGGTGGAGGAAGACCCCGGGGGTCCCTTTAGAGAGGTCACCCCGAGCCTGAGGGTGATGGGAGGGAGAGGACTGCGACTGCCCCCCCGGGCAGAGGGGTTCAAATCAATTAGCAGCTCGGTGACGCATGCGAGGCCCCCCCCCAAAAATGGGGAGAAAACCAAAGTCTCTCTCCCACATCTCAGCTCCATGATTTAAGCATCAGACCTTTTGACTGCGAAGGGGACATTTTCATAGCAGGGAAGGCTGCTGCTTGCTCTGTCTATGCACTAGCGTTTTGGGACGGGCAGGCACTCAGCTTTGCAGCTGTAGGGATCCTACTGAAAAGGGACCGAGCTAACAGAGACCACCGGGGTTTGCAGGGCCCCCGTTCCCCTCCCTGTTGCTCCAGAGCCTGCACAGCTCTGTGCTAGAGCTCTTCCAACCAGGGCAGGGGGAATGGCACGAACGGCAGCCAGCACATCTGCTCTGCTGAACATCCACAGCAAGAAAGGACCCAGCGTCAGAAGAGAACTCGGAAAACACCAAAAGCGGCAGCCAAGCAGGTTCATGTTTTTGAGACAACTTCCCAAAGGACCAGGCTGGTCCCACCACCGCAGCATTTCCCCTACACCAGGCCCCCCAACCCCCCCCGCCCCGTTGCTGCCCCACCACGAGCTTTCCCCACCGCGATGCCTCCGAGCCGCAGACCCAGC